TCCAGGCACATACATTCACTGAAGACACAAATACGGATAACTCCACACACATCACCAAATACCTTTCAAAATTGGTTTTCTCGGTTTGAAAGCTTAGGACCATAGTCTCATGGGACAATTAAGTCAACTGGCGTAACACATCATTCACAAAAATCATGATCTGCATCCTAGTTAGTAGCATCTGGGATCTTAAAAGCTTGTGAGTGGTCACTTAAGACATACTATGGGTCTCTACTCGCCAGGAGCAAAAACAGTAAGAAGGTAACCAAAAGCTCAGAGAAGAAACAAGTCTACACGAGCCACAACCTTATCTACCCTGAGACCGGAAGAACTAGGTGGTGCCTGGCTACCACAACTGACTGCTGTGACTTGGGACACAATAGATGGTCCCGGATAAAATGTGAGAAAAATATGGAGCAGAAATCAAATTCTTAAATAAAAAAAAAAAAAAGCCAGAAAAACTGGAACAGTAGAGAACAGAGGATTCCCTGAGACTATGGCCCTGAGACACTCTTTAAACCTAGAACCGAGCCTATCCCCTCAGATCACCTTTTAGCAAAATGGCAGAGTGGCACACAAAATAAAGGATATTACCTGTAACATTGGTGCTGTACATAAAAAACCATCAGTATGAAACCAAAAGGTCAAAATCTACTTAAAAAGCAAAGATGAGAAGATGAGGGGACAGGGAAACTAGAGTACTGGAAATGGAACAAAGAGAACACAATTAAAGACAATGCTGACGCATTGTGATAAATGTAACTAATGTCGCTGAACAATTTGTGCAGAAATTGTCAAATGGGAACCTAACTTGCTTTGTAAACTTTCACCAAAAACTCAATAAAATATTATTTTTTAAACAAAAAAAAAAAGGTCAGAGAATCGTCATTCTAAAGAACAAGTATAAAACTGGATAAAATTGTCAAAACTAACCATTTCACAGTGCTGGATATCCACTGAAGACAACAAATTAGAGGCATTTGTTCAAAAGGAACTGCTAGAACTTCAGGTAAGAATATCAAGAGTCTTCAGCCTTCTAGGCACAGGATGTTCCCACCACCACCAACTTTCCCCTTGTTCCCTGAGAAGTTCTACCAGGTCAGGGCTGGCAGTGAAAACCAGCAGTTTTGCTGCCAGAGGGAATTAATTTGATTTTGAGCAAATGGCAAAAACCCAAGGCAAGAGGTATCATCAGTAAAAGTAGCAAATTCCATAGGAAACAAACAGAAAAACCTAGAGGTCTAGTAACAGCTTTTCCTGTTAGGGTGTATTAGTTTTCTATTGGTCACATGACAAATTACCACAAACTTGGTGACTTAATACAAATTTATCCTGTAGTTCTGTATTTCAGCAACGCAAAATGGCTCTCACTGGGCTAAAATCAAGGTATTGGCAGGGCTGTGTTCCTTCTAGAGGATCTAGGGGAGAATTTGTTTCTTATCTTTTCTAGCTTCTAGAGTCCACCCATATTTCTTGGCTTGTGACCCCTTTCTTTCACCTTCCCAGCCAGAAACGCTGCATCTCTCTAATCACTTTTTCATAGGCACATCTCCCTCTGATTCTGAACCTTCTATCTCCCTCTTGTGATTACACTGGGCCCACTGCCATAATCCAAAATAATTTCCCTATCTTGAAGTCAGCTGATTAGCAACTGTAACTACCCTCCGCCATGTTGCCTATGTATTCACACATTCCAGGAATTAGGACACGGACATCTTTGGAGGAACATTATTCTGTCCGCCATATAAGGCAAATGGCAACACAGCCTGAAATTTAACAAGGAGACCCTGGAAATAAAAGAGTGATAGAACTATGCAAGCTCTCCATACGTCTCTGGCTGACTGGAAAACTCCACATACGTGCAGAGGAAACATGAGAAGGCCTACAGGAAGTGTAAGCAGAGGCCAGCTTGAGAAATGCCTGGACTTTGAGAGTGTTCTTCTTCAACCTATGCCCAAATCCACAGAAGGAGGACATAAGCCTTATGGGATTGAGTATTTAAGTATAACCTCTGCACAAACACTGGCTAACCACTAAGCTATGCAGATGCAGGGGTGAACCCTAGGAAACCACACTTAAAAAATCAAAATAATTAAAAATATATATATATCAGCAGGCCAAACATTCCAGATTCTACAGGTTAAGTCCAGGTAAGTTAAAAAATAATAGTAACCCCAGGAGGAAATACAACTCAGAGTTGCCAAAATATATTATAGAAAATAGCCATTTTCAATGAAAACGTATGAGACATGAAAAAAAAAAGGCAGGAAAGTGTAACCCACAGTCAGGAAAAACAGCAGTTAATAAGAACTGACTTTCCGTGGGCCCGTATGTTGGATTTAGCAGACAAACAGTACAAAGCAACTATTATAAATATGTTCAGAAAGTTTAAAATTCAGAGGAATTAAAATAATACACAAAAAAAATTTGTGTAGGAAATAAGAAAGTAGTAAAAGAGGAACAAAGAAATAGAAAACCTGAAACGTATAGAAGACAAATGGCAAAATGGAAGATGTAAATCCAACTTATTAATTATTAAATTAAATGTGAATAGATCAAACACTTAATCAAAGGCTGGGATTATCAGACTAGATAAAAACACAAGACTGAATGCTATCAACAGATGAATGAATAAACAAAAGTGAATGATAATCCATTGTATGAATATACATAATACATACACTGGAATATTACTCGGCCCTAAAAAGAAATGAAGTCCTGATACATGCTACAATGTGGATGAAACTTGGAAACATTATCCTAAGTAAAATAAGTCGGTCACAAAAGTGCAAATATTGTATGATCCCTCCTATATGAAATATCGAGAATAGGCAAGTGTATAGAGATCGAAGTTTATTAGTGGTTACCAGGGGCAGGTAGGAGGGAGGGCAGAAGGGAGGCTCAGTGCTTAGTGGACACAGAGCTTCTGTTAATGGTGATGGAAAAATCTGCAAAGGGAGAGTGGTAATGGTTGAACAACACAACGAACATAATTAAAGCAACTGAACCTTCCATGTGAGGACTACAGAAATGGCAAATGTTTTGTTACCTATATATTCGCTACAATAATGAGAAAAAAAAAGATTGAATGCTGTCTATAAGAGACACACATTAGATCTGAAGACAAACAGGTAGAAAGGAAGAGGGAAAATGATATACAATGTATCCAGTATCCAGAAGAGAGCTAGATTGGTATATTAATTCAAAACAAAATAAACTTTAAGAAAAAAATACCAAACGCAAAGAAAGACATTTCATAGTGATTTAAAAAAGAAAAATCCTACTTGTCCTTTTGTGTCTGACTTATTTCACTTAGCATAGTGTTGTCACGGTTCATCCATGTGTCAGAACTTCGTTCCTCTTTAATGCTGAGTTATACGCCACTGCACGTATATACTACATTCTGCTTATTCATATATCTGTTGACAGACACTTGAGTTGCTTCCACCTTTTGGCTATTGTGAATTATGCCGCAATGAACACTGATGTACAAGCACCTGTTTGAGTTTCTGCTTTCAAGTCTTTTGGGTATATACCTAGGAGTAGAATTCTTGGGTTATATGGAAATTTTATGTTTAACTTTTTGAGGAATTGCCAAACTGTTTTCCACAGCAGCCGCACCATTTTACATTCCCACCAGCAGTGCATGAGGATTCCAATTTCTCCACATCCTCACCAACTCTTGTTATTTTCCATTTTTCTGATAATAACTAAATACTGTATGATCCCACTTACATGAAGTATCCTGAATAGGTAAATGCATAGACAAAAGGTTATTAGTGGTTGCAAGGAGATGGGAGTCGGTGACATGGGAAGTTATTGCTTAAGGGGTAATGAGTTTCTATTTGGGTTGATGAAAACCTTGGAAAATGTGATGATTGGACAACATAAAATGGTTAAAATGGGAAAAATTTTGTTATATATACTTTACAGCCAGAAATAAAAATAAAAAAAACAGATATGCAGTTTATTAAAAAGTTGAGCAAAAATTTACCATGTAACCTACCAACTCCACCCCTAGGAATCTCTCCAAGAGAAATAAAAACACTTGTACATGAATATTCATAGCAGCATTATTCATAATAGCCCAGAACTGGAAAAATCCAAATGTTCATCCACTGTGAACAGATAAATAAAATGTGGTCTATGCATACAATATCGTTTAGTCATAAAAAGAAACCGACCACTGAGACACGAGTCAACACGAATGAACCTCAGCAACACTACGCTATGTTAAAGAATCTAAACAGGAAAGCCTGTATGATTCGTTATAAGAAATTTCTAGAAAAGCTGAATATCTAGAGACAGAAAGCAAATCAGTGGTAGCATGCGGGTTGGGATAGAAGCAGGGAACTAATGCAGACAGGCACAAGGGAAAGTTTTGGGGTGATGGAAATGTTCTAAAACTGGACTGTGGTGATAGTTGTACAACTGTGTAAATGTGCTAAAAATCACTGAAACGTACCCTCATAAAAAATAATAAAACCAAACCCACTGCCATCGAGTTAATTCCAACTCATAGCGACCCTATAAGACAGAGTAGAACTGCCCCATAGGGTTTCCAAGGGGCGCCTGGTGGATGTGAACTGCTGACCTTTTGGTTAGCAGCCGAGCTCTTAACCACTGTGCCATCAGGGTTTCCGTACCCTCATAGTGGATGAACTTTATGAAGTGTAAATTATACCTCAATGATGCTACTTTAAAAAACAGGAATAATCAGTTCCCCATCCCTGGAGGTATACAAGCAGACACTGAATGATCTATCAGGGATGCTACAGAGTGGACGTCTATGTGACCTCTAAGATCTTGTGGCCTTTTGACCAAAAGTGTTAGCATATGTATATGTATGTATATATATATATACATACATACATGTATATATACTTTTTTTTTTTGGTGACTTTTTCCAGTTGCTGTTCTGCTAGTTATAACAGAAAACATCTGTGACTGCTTTTCCCAATATTTCACTTGCAAAACATTAAACATGGAATGTTTTTCACCTTTCGTCCTGTGAAGGCAGCTCGGTGAAGTGGCGTATCTCCCATGTCATTTAACACATTTACTTCTGCACCCGCCTAGTAAACATAAAAACTTTTTTAAAAAATATTTTCCACATATCAAGAAATTCACAAAGGTGAAAATAATGCCTTAAAAATATATTAAATACCTCAAAAATTAAAATAGTAGCTAATTGTGACTGGCTGTCACTATAAAAAATAAATTCAACTCATAGTAAAAGTAAATAAATAGTAAGCTTCCTGAAAGGTAAAAATCTACCTGCAAGGTAGAAAAATGGAAGAGACTTTTCTTTTAAAATTATACAGCTTCATTCTACTTTAGAAGCACTCATACTGAAAAAACGAAAACTGTCTCTGAATGAAATACCACATTTCCTCCACCATCAATTCAGTAAATTTTCAGGGGAAAAAAATGATACTACCATTTAAATGTATAGATCAACTGTAAGATGTAACCCAATTTCAGAAATACCAACATGTGAAAAATTATTCATCAGAGAATTGAACATAAGATTTTAAATTACACGGTGCTCCTTAAGAGAGTCTGACTTTTTAAAGATAATTTATGATGTTTACTGGTTATTTTTTAACTGCTATGCTCACAAAACTGAAAATAGTATCTTCTTTAATATGTTCATTTTGCAATTTTAAAAACCCAATAATGTAACTGAATTGGCAAATGTTTTGCTATGTATAGTCTTCCACAATTTTTAAAAAGTAGGGGGGAAAAAGCCAATAATGTTAAAAGATTGAAAAAATATAATTTTAATCAGGTTAACCTAACTCATGTATTCAGTAAGGAACAATTAACTGTCTTTAGTGGTGCATTATCGCTTTAAATTAGCCATTATGGCTCAGTTGGCTTTTGTAAGACTTTTGTCTACTAAATTTCCATAACAGCAATATTTATTATATTCACGTAAAAATTAAAACCATAAATTTACCTTCAACAGATCCTGGACCACTTGTCTATGCCCAAAATAGCATGCCAGATGAAGAGGTGTCCAGCCAAAATTAGACTTACTTCTTCCTAAAAACGGAAAAAGATTAGGAATTGCTAGGCGTTATTTAGGGAATATTACAACAAAATTAATTTCTCCCTAACAAGCTACTTTAATACCTTGGCGAATGGCTCCCATTAACATTGCTTTAAATGAGTGAGAGACATTATGATATAATGAAAAGTGTAATAAAAGTAACGAATGCAACTCAGAAGACTTAGATTCTTGGTGCCACTGTTTCTAACTCAATTTCCTCTTCTCTGAAAGGGTGGAGGAAGATACTAGGGGGTTATATTTGAACTAGATGATCTCTAGTGAACTGCTGGCTCTAGCTCTAAGGTTCTAAGTCTCAAACCATCTTGGAGTCATCGAGCAAAGATATTCTCTTCGCATAGTATTTCATGAAGAGCAACTCTCTCTGAAAACCTGTGCCATGTAAGGAGGGTGGATGGGAATGGAAAATTGGTAAGGAACATTTCCCGAAGCATTTGGAGAGCTGTTAGCTCTACAGACAGTGACTGAAAATGGAGTCTTTGACTTCAGATAAAATCTCAGTTAATGAGGATACTGGGTTACTAGAGTGGTAGAGAGTTCAATTAGGTGACAAGAACCAAAGGTAAAAGCAATGAAATGTTAGATTCTAGCACCAGAGCTAAGGAGAGGTATAAAAAAAATTGAGTGTTGCAAAAACTGAAACTATATAATTCAATTCTGCGAAAATGATACAGGGTCTTACAGCTTAGAGCTGAGATAGCTCCAAAAAATCTACCAAAATTCCAAATCTGTCTTGAGAAAACACAACCTCTCAAATTCCCAAAGGCCACCACTCTCGCGGCCACCCAGGGCTGCTTCTCAGGAGGGGCACGTGGTTTACCCACTAGCATGAATGACAGTAGCTCTCTCAGATTATACGCGGCCCTCAGCTCTAGGATGTCAGGTCTGGAATCAACAGAAACCCTAGTCACCAACCTCAGTATACCCAGAACAGGCCTGTAACAACTCCGAGAGACTCCCACTGCCACGACATCTGAGAGTTTGCCAATTAACCAAACTCCCACATCTGTCTCCTCTCAAATATTTCTACTCTGCCCTCTGGAGCCCCTGATTCCACAGTTAATAAATCCTAGAACCTCAGTCTTCTGTCTTGAACATTTCTTTCACCTTCTATTCTTAACTGAAACTTATGTCTTCCTGATGATAATTCCCTGTCAGTCCTCAGGTGGAAGCCCACATTTCCACACACCCGATATACCTCAAAGAACATAAGGAGTGTGAACCTGCTGCTGTCTTTAATCAGTTACTAATCCACTCATAAGAAGCCCTGGTGGCACAACAGTTAAGTACTCAGCTGCTAACCAAAAGGCTGGCGGTTTGAATCTGTAAAGACTACAGCCATGAAAGTCCTATGGGGCAGTTCTACTCTGTCACATGGGATCGCTATGAATTGGAATCAATTCGATGACACCCAACAACTCCACTCATGCTACAACTTCTCCTCCTTTGTGACTCCTGACATTAAACCATAACTCCCTCAAACTCCTTCTCGGCTGCCATCTGTCAGCCTCCCAGGGGCTCTCCCCTCACCAAATAACATTGAGCAATGCAGTCTTTCTCTCCATTGCATATCTTGTCACCATCGTAGGGAAGTCCACCACCTACTCAGCACCCAGTCTTTCGGTTTCTTGGCTTCCGTAATTCCCTACACATTTTGCCTCTGCTCCATGTCAGGTACCAAGTTCCAGAGCCAGAGCCTGGATCTCATCATTGTCACTGAAATCATGAATATAGAAAGCCCAACTGCACCCACAAACTCCCAACTTCCAAGCTTGTTCACACAGGTGTGCGCTGTATACCCCATACCTGTTCTTCAACTTAATCGGCCCTTCCTACTTTTCATATGTATAAACACTCCTCCATCTTCACTTCCTTCAATAAATTCAGCTTATATTACTTGATCCCTCACTTCCATTTCTTCACCAATATCCTCAATATCTTTACTTCACTATCTCTGTCATGGCACCCTAGCAAAACCCCAAAGCCTGGAGAAACACACTAGCTCAATGTTTCCAGAGCCGTACTCAGGTTGCTAAATAATGGTAAAGAAAAATAAGACAATCTATAGATTTGTGGTACCCTAAATTCAGGAACCCGTACTTGAATTAGGTCCTCAATACTGCCTGGCAATCTTTTGGATAAGGCCCACATTAGGTGTCTCTGCTATATTCCACAACAGATATTCCAATGCTTTTCTATTCTCCACAAGCCTCTCAGCCAGACACCTCACCCAGTTCTTAGCAAATGACCTCATCTCTTAGCTTCACAGAGAAAACAGAAGTTTTCATATGAGAATTTTCTTGGCTTCTGACACAATTTCACCACCCTACCTACATCTATATGCATTCTTTCATCCTTTCCTCCTGATACCTAAGACTAGTCACTCTCCCCGGATCCTAGATCCCATTCCTGCCTGCCTTCTCAAGGACTCCTTCATCCCCAGTATCTGGAACCACTCCCTTGTTAGTTGCTGATACTGAGCAAGTAAACACTCAGGTCTCTAGCATCTAACAAGCAAAAACAAACACACAAACGAAAACGTCTCTCCCTTGATCCCATGCCCAGCTATTGTTCTCCTCACTCTCCCTTCCCATTTGTCTTCATTTGCTATTTCCATCTCATTCCCTCCTATTAACTACCCGGCCCTGCAGACTAGGTTTATTTTCCACCATGTCATCAAAGGCGCCCTGGTGGCACACTGGTTAAGACCTTGGCTGCTAACCAAAAGGTCAGCAGTTTGAATCTACCAGCTGCTCCTTGGAAACCCTATGAGGCAGTTCTATGGCAACAGGTTTATATCATTAAAACTGTCCTCAAATTTTATCAGTCTATGCCATTTATTCACCTATTTGGCTATTATTTCTTCAATATTTGAATGGCCCTTACAAATCACCCTCAATGATAAAGGGAGCGCTATGCATGAATAAGGGAGAACTATGCATGGTTCCAGAGCCCTGGTGGCACAGTGATTTAGAGTTCTGCTGCTAACCAAAAGGTTAGCAGTTCAAATCCACCAGCCACTCCTTGGAAACCCTATGGGGCAGTTCTACTCTGTCCTACAGGGTCGCTATGCGTTGGAATCGACTTGATAGCAATGGGTTCTGTTTTTATTTTGGTTATGATGTCACCAAATCCCAGGGGTACTATTCAGCTGCCACCTCACTGCCTCACTGTATAGCATAAGACAATATGGCCCACATTCCTCTCTGGCTTCCACAGCACTGCACTCTAGGGTTTCCTCTTCCTTCTCTGGCACTTCTCAGTATCCTTTGAAAGCTCCCTGGTTCTTCATTATTGATATCTCCCATTGTTTTAATTGTTTACATGCTGTTGATTTCAAACTCGACATTCCCATTTTCCAACTCTCTACTAGAAACCTCCCTTTGGATGTCACCAAGGTACCTCATGTACAAAGCAAATTCAATCTTTCATCCTACATACACACACTCACACTCACAACTTGTCCCCCCATTTACTTTCACAATTAATTGCCCCATTATGCACCTCATTTCTCAAGCCAAATACCAGCATCACCCTGGCCTGCTTCTTCCTTTTCACTCCCGCACTCACAGTCCTACTGATTCTACCATCTAAATATTAATTAAATCTACTTTTCTCCATTCCCACTGCTTCTACCCCTTTCTCACCCATAACTGTCTCCTCTAAGTAAGTATAACAGCTTCCGAACTGGCCTCCTCACATCCAGTATTTCCAAATGAAATTCAGCAGCAAAAAATTGGAATTTCCAAAATCCTAAATTATTCTTAAAATACTTCAAACATTCTTCATACTCTTTACTACTTATCATGGATATCTTTTTAAAAAGCGAGTTTAATGAACAAGAAAGATTAAGCTTAGGAGTATTCACAAATAACTGTAGTCTATACAGAATATTAAAACACTAGAAAACACCAGTGGGAATTATCGGGTAATATCCAAATAACTTAACATCCAGACCTTGTTATGGAGTGAATCGTGTCCCATGAAAAATAGTTAAGTTCCTAACCCTTGTACCTGCGAACGTGACCTTGTTTGAAAACAGGGTTTTTCTTCTGTTATCAGTTAAGTTAAAGGAGATTATACTAGAGTAGGGTGAGTCCTAAATCTAACCCCTTGTGAGTCGTGTCTCATAAAAAGGGAAAACTGACAGGGAGACACACACAGAGGGGAAAGAGATTATGTGAGGAACCCTCTACAAACCAAGGAATTCCAAGGAATGTCCCGGACTTCCAATAAGGAGGGACCCTCCCCTAGAGTGGATGACCTGATGTGGACTTCTAGCTTCCAAAACTGTGAGAAAATAAATTTCTGTTCCTTAAAGCCACTCACCTGCGGTATCTTTGTTAGGACAGCCCTAGGAAACTAAGACACACCTCCTAGCAAAGTGGCAGTACTACACAGAATCGTATGTTGAAATTGCCAATATGAGTACTTATTTTGCTTCCGAAACTTGTTATTTCTTGAAATATCACTCACGGGATTTATATAAAGTATATTATACATATAAACATATTAATATTTATTTTATTTGCAAGAATGACTCGCCATTAACAACGCACAGGACCATGAACACACACTTAACATGGCAATAGCTACAAGCAAAACTGACTGATTAGATCCTCCTGTAAGCCCGTCTTGGAAATGTTGACCTTACCCTTCAACTCTGCATGCCAGCGTTTTCTTCTCTTGTTTTCAACTTGACAGATTCCTTCAAACCAGTAACATCTCTATATTAATTGTTAAGCTCTAACTCTTCAGGGGAATTATAATACTTTTTACAATTTTCCAGATTCTCAGGATTTGGACACCCCGTCCCATTCACTTCTATATAGTAAGCAGCACAAACATCTGATTATGGCATTTCTCCACATAAACCTTTCAACTTGCCCTAAAGACAAAGTCAGACTTACAGGTTTCTCAGTTTTGCATTTCCAAGTAGATGACTTTGTGCTAATTATTAATTAGCCTGAAGCAACTATGGGTGTGGATGGATAGAAAAGGGTCACTGAGGATTACTGAGGTAGGAATTTTTTTGACATTCAAAATGGAAGTCTGAGGTAAAAATTAAGAGCAAGTCTTTGTCCAAATATAGGAAGGATTTTTTTTAGATTCCTTTAGTATACCAAGAATCAACTCAGTTGATTATAGTTTCTGGACAACTCAGATCATAGTTTCTTCCCTCTTGCAAAGAAATGATACTCCTTAAAAAAAAAAAAAAAAAGTGATACTCCTTCCCCAGAGATGGCTAGGCCATGGCGATGCTGCTCTAGGACAGGAGGAGAATGTGACATAGAAATAACATAGCCATCTGAAGTCTGCCCTTTCTGCAACAGAGAGATTTGGGGAGAGAGAAAAAGACAGAAGACGAGACATGTGGTTCTAGATCTTATGTCCAGAAAGTGAGAGAAACTGCGCGAACACTGGGAATGGGTAAGTCACATCTGGGATGCTAGGAAAAGATGTCCAAGCCCCCATCTGCAAGGCAGCCAGTCAAAGCAAATTCTGTAGTGTGGACGTTGGAAGGTCAAACGTTGGCTGACTTCCCTCTTAGCTCTCACATGTCACCAAGTTCCCAGACACCACCCTCCCAAGAGAGGACCAGGAGCACAGCTGAGTTGAATCAGCAGGCTTAGGCCAGGTGCCAGGTAGAGGTGTAACAGAGGCTCAGGGTGACACAAAGCCAGCGAGAGCCAAGGTGAGTCTGTTGAGACACGCAAGGAGCACCACCTGTATTGTGTGACAAACTGAGAGACCCGACCCTGAGTTTTACCTCAGCTACAAACAAAGGCTCCCTCAGGGATTGGAGCACCCTGGTCTCCCACTGCAAACACATAGCAAGGCCCACTATCACCTTTAAATGCCATCTTAGTGGAGAGAGGAGGGAAGGGAAAGGTTCTGGAAGAGCAAACATTTATCAAAAAGGCTACAGAGACTGCGGAACGTGAAGACTAATGTTTAGTTGCCCACACTCTCAGAGTGGGAAGGTGCTTGTTGAAATATCAGAGCCGTTTCAAGGATAAATCATCTTTCTCTGCATATCTGAATGTGATATATTTGCAACTCAGCTACACAAGGCATGTGATGACTCGGCTGCTCCGTCCCACCTAGCATTATCCCTTACTCCTCTTCATCCCACTCCAGCCTCAGGTCCTTCCTTCTATGTGGCTTCTCATCTCAGGTCCTGGGCACAAGCTATTTTTTCTGCCTTGAAGCCTTTTCCTCTCTATCCTCACCTGGTTAGCTCCCACATCCTCTTCACATATCACCTTAGGATCATTTCCCACAAGAAGCTCATCCTAATCTTTCAACTTGCAGTTAAATCTATCTCCTATGTGGTCCCATGACAACCTGCACCTGCATGTCCTGGTGCATACTTTGTAATGTAGACTAGGCTAAAGACTAATCTATCAATCAGCTAATCTCAGTGAAGACAGGGATCTTGTCTCATCTTCTGTCTTTTCCTCTCTCCCCAAATCTCTCTGTTCAGAAAAGGCAGGTTTCAGGTGGGTATTTTATTTCTGCGCCTCATTCTCCTACCCTAGAGCATCATGGCCTAGCCATCTCCGGGAAAGGAGTTATCCCTTTTTTTTTTTTTTTAAAGGAGTATCATCCTTTTGCAGCAGGGAAGAAATTATGATCTGAGTTGTCCAGAAACTATAATCTGGGTCGATTTTTGGTATATTTAATCATTGTCTCTGCAGCACCTTACACGAAGCTGGGCATACAGTAAGCACTCAAACCTGCTGGTTTAACTGCAGTGTCTGCAAGAAAAAATATTGTCACACAAAGCACTTGTGGGCTCAGGGTAACCGTCATACTTTTCAGGACCCATGACAATTATAAGAATAGATCTCAATTTCTCTGACTTCAAAGGGACTAAGACAGACATTTCGCCACTCTTGGGGAGATTCTTCCTAGAATAAGAGAGAGTCATTTATTGCACAAAAGATCAGAAAGATAAGCATTAAATAAATAAATGATAAGTGATACAGGCTAGTAAGACAAAGTTAAAAAATTTACTCAAAGGTTACCTTTGCAATTAAGGTCAGCAATTACATCATTCTTCTCCACGGTTTCTAGTATACGTCTCACTTCTTCAGTGTTGCCATTTCTGGCATGATGGAGAAGTTGTTGTTCTGCTTCTGTGCTCATTTCTAGAATAAAAAAAAATAATATTGCTATCATCTAAGAATATAACTAGCTTTTATATCTTACCTGCTAATACAGAAAGGAGGAAGAATTATCTTCATTTTGCAGCTAGTAAGACACATATAAAAACTGATTAAATGAATTGGTTGCAGGATCAGAACTTAACCCTAAGACTCCTCTTCCATTGTATTATTATTAGAGAAGTGCACTAGACATTTGGACAAGTTTCCTAACCGCTCAAAGTCTCAGTTTCCTCACCTTCAAAATACACCCAGCTTCATAGAGCTCTGGTGAGCCTATGTATATGAAAGCATTCTATCAAAGTATTATGCAAATATATTATGACATTAATAAGTAACTAATAAGTAATAAGTAAGTCTGGAGCCCTGGTGGTGCAGTGGTTAAGAGCTCGGCTGCTAACTAAAATGTCAGCAGTTCAAATCCACAGCCACTCCTTGGAAACCCTATGGGGTAGTTCTACTGTCCTGTAGGGTCGCTATGAGTCAGAACTGACTCAACGGCAATGGGTTTGGTTTTTGGCTAGATATAAAGTTAAAATATGGCCATTCATATAGAAATATTAAGACTGAAATGTAAATTAACACATTCAAAAGCCGTGACAAAAAAAAAAAATTCTGAATAGAAAAAATTTAGATAGCAACCCTTAAAAATAAATTTTTCTCTCATATTTACTTACCAAACCCCGAAGTACTTACAGAGTATTACAACCAAATTTAAAGCAATTATATCAAAATGAGCAAGTGATATGAATAGCAATTACCACAAGTACAAATTTCAATCTTAATAATCAAGCAAGTGCAAATAAATCAAATGAAAATGATTTATTTATTTATTTTGCCTACTCTACTAGCAAAATAAAAAAAGATTAAACATACCCAGTGCTGGCATGGACAGGAAATATATACTCCTACAAGCTGCTAATATGAATATAAATACATACAATCTTTCAAATGCTGCAGGAGGAGAGGTAACAATTTGGCAATCTCAAATAAACTTCAAATACACACACATCGTTTACCTTGTCTGGGCAATTCTATTTCTAGGCATCTGTTTTACAGAAATATTTACAAAAGATTATTTTATAAGGATGTTCATTACTTTATTTCTAACGGTGAAAAAGTTATAAATCACTCTATGTCCATCAATAACGGACTGGTTAAATAAATCCTGTGGAAAAGCTTTATGAGATGGTCTCTGGACTGGAGAATGGAAGACAGACTTGAAGACATAGTTTCAAAAACTAGCAACCTCTGGATAGTGAACACCAAGACCTCCAGCCCTCTGTCCCTAATCAGCATTCCACTCCAGGAGGAGACTGAGTTAGTTATGTTCCCTAGAGAAGAATAAAGGCACCAGGAGCTCCCCAACAAACGGCAAAGCCAGATGATTCACACAGTGAAGTTGACAGTCAATTAAGACCCACTCGCTTTCAGTTTCCAGCGGCTTTCTAGCTTCCCATTCTTAAACACGAGCCGATAACCGAGGAAAACAAGCTATCTGAAGAAAGTCTCTAAAACATGAAAGACAGAGACAAAAATCAGAACAAAATGAGGAGAAACCCAGAAAAGATGCAGTTAGAAAATAAAGGCCTGAGTCAAGGAATGTAGGGCTCAGAAAGGGGCCCCCACCTTAGGAAGACACTCAGGCTGACATAAAGGAGGGACGTTGGGCAGAAACTGAGGCCTGTAGCTAATATGAGAGGCCAAGATTAGTGTAACTGTGTGTCGCAGACCTGCTCCTAAAATCCAAATCCTGAGGCTAGTGGGGGCTGCAGCAGGAGTGATAAGGCAGGAGGGCCAGGCGGAAGTGCACATGTGCGGCCCAGTCAACCTCAATGAACTACCAGATAAAGGAAGGGTGGCCTTTAGTCAAGCTCCACTGGACAGGAATGGAGACGGCTGGGTCGGAATGGTTATTGATATGCGTCTTATCTCCTCTTGGAATGCTTCAAAAACTGGAGTGGTTCTCAGTCTAGAAGTGGAGAAATGATGAATTCAACTTTGAGGAGGCAGAAAAGAAGAAACAGGATCATCCAACAGGGCAGCTGGGCCCAGTGGCTGGGGCTTCTTCTCAGGCCCTTCCATCCTCTGCCACCAGTCTCAGGTGTTCTCAGAGCACAGAAAAATCTTGGGGCAAGACTCAGAAGAGCTCTAGGACTCAGGTTTCACTAGAGAGCAGGGTACTTAGGGATCAGGGTGCTGGGCTCAGGCTCAAGGAGCTCTAGGGTCAGAAGATTTTAGCAGCATTCAGAAGTTCTGCGAACTTGGAGCAACTAGTACTATTTAAGGTGTGCTGCTGAGAGTTCCTGGGTGATGCAAATGGTGAACACTTGGGTGCTAATCAAAAGACTGGAGGTTCGAGTCCACCCAGAGATACTCCAAAGAAAGGTCTGGCGATCTACTTAAAAAAACTAGTCATTAAAAACCCTATAGAGTTAACAAATGGTGCTGGCAAAACTGGATATCCATCTGCAAAAAAATGAAACAGGACTCATACCTCAGGCGGTATACAAAAACTACTTCAAAATGGATCAAAGACCTGAATATAAAGCCTAAAACTATAATGTTCATAGAAGAAAAAATAGGACCAACATTACAGGCCTTAATACACGGTATTAACAGGATACAAACCATAACCATCAATGCACAAACCCCAATAGATAAGCTAGATAACTGGGATCTTCTAAAAATCAAACACCTATGCTCTTC